CTCTCTCTCTCTCTCTCTCTCTCTCTCTCTCTCTCTCTCTCTCTCTCTCTCTCTCTCTCTCTCTCTCTCTCTCTCTCTCTCTCTCTCTAAATAATTATTCCATGGAGCAACATAAAAAAATCTAGAAAATTTCAATGCTTAATATATATATATATATTCGAGTCATAATTGAAGTTAAAAAGATCGAAACTATCATACCTGATAAATTCCGTCGTGTTAAATAGATATTGTAATGGTTTAAGAATTATTTGAAAAGAATTCAGAATTATCGAGATTGTTCAGCTCAGAATCTTGGAACTGTTTATAACATAACCGCGAAATTCATGCGAATAGAATTCCTTATCGCGGCTTCGATTTCAGGGACATTCTTCAAGATGAACGAAAATGAAAGTATGTCTTACTCAATAACAAACGTGTTAACGGAACGAAACACATGTATGACCTTCGTCGTTATATGGAAGAATTGAATTTCGTTTCGGAAAATGATTAGATCTTCTTTCATTCCTTTTTCCTATTTGAATTTTTTTGTTCCCTTAATTATTTCCTAGTCATATCGTTATATAAAATATAGAAAAGAATAAAAAAAAAAAAATTTTTGCTTTAAAATTTTATTGTTTCGTAGAAAGCGCGAGTTATTTGTCACGTTTATTAAATTTACTTATACGATATTTAATATTTCGCGTCTAATTGTATTTAATTGAGCGTATTCATAATTATGCGTAAATCTGTTTGTGTCGTAATCTTTTTATTTCTTCGATGTTGTTATGCACGCATTGAACGTAATCTGTAAATTGAAGGTTTTCTATGTTGATTCTCTATTGTGAAAATAACTCGCTAGAAAATAATGAAACTCTTACCGCAATTAAGCGAGAAGGAAATGTATGAAGGAAATGAGTATCGGTGAATTTCCGTAGTCGCATATGAGAATTTATATTTACACGAATATTATAAATTGCCGCATTTTCTTTCTTATTTTTATGCATATATCTGCTTCTATAGTCTAGGTAATGCTAATTCTTGATTATCTGGTGGTTATATCTAAAATAAATGTAATTTGTGTTATTAAAAAGTAAAAGTAATAATAGAAAAGAATAAAAGTATATGATTATGTGATACCTTATTACTTAAAAAAAAATTTTCATTTCTTTAACTTGATCGTATCATAGTAAGGTTATATAATATCATTAAATATTTTCAAAATAATAATAATATTTTTGAATTTAGAAATTATTCAATTATTTCAGTTAAGTATTATATAAATAATAATGCCATTATATTAAATAAATACTAAAAAAATAATAATAAGTATTAAGGAAACGTTTTTTTTAAACGTGAACTTGACGTTTTCTATGTTATATACTCTTCCTCTTTCTCTTAATATGTATAGAATAGTTCACTTTCCTCCAGTTGGTATGAGAACGAGATAGATAGATAAATTTTTCTGTCTAACTATTTACAGTAGTTGTAAATATTTTCTATTTCTATTTACGCATTTCTAATATCTAGTATCTGATATCTTCAAAATATACGGAATATATTTTATATTTATTATTATATTTTATTATCAAATTTATTTTTTTTACATACATATTCAAACATAATCATTTTTGATTATATGATTCTAATCCATTGTACTACTTTGAATGATGTGCTCTATCAATTGATTTTATTATATATTTACGTTACATATATCTTATAATAAATTTTTTAATTATATTTTAATCTATCTTTCAAAATGTTAAATATTTATATTTAAAATTTAAATATATTTTTGTTATTTTAATTGATTATATTATACATTACCAAGATAAAAAAGACATTTACAAATCATTTTTTCATCTTTTATAATATTCTAACCAATTTAAACATATTTATGGACATCTAATGTGTGCGTGACGAGCTTCGGTCAATAACGCAAGTGTTTAAAAGATTATTTCCACTTTCATATAGGGGAAATATACGGATACGAACCATTGAAGGAAGCTGTTGGCATCAGGGAAGGATGTCGAGATGAGAGAAAGTCTGTTCGTTGAACAAGTCGCTCTCTGTTTTTTTTCTCTTTGAATCCTGGCGACTATGCATCCGCATATTATTACTGGTTACATAATGCGCAGACGCATAATCGAGAAACGAAGGATCGATAATCGATTATCCAAATATGGATAGTATAATATTTTAATCTATTTAATTATATTTCTCTTCTGAACTAAAATTGGATTTTAATATTAAGTATTTGAATTAATTATTATTATTTTGATTATTTTATATATTTGTTATGTCATTATTTTGAATGAAAAATATTTCAGATAAATGAATGATTTCAAAGGAAGAATATTCTGATGTTATTTGTTTTCATAGATAAGGAAATATGTATAAAATTGAATAATTTCTTTATTATAGTTTTTTTCGCTATTAAAAAATGATATACGAAGAAATAGAAATAAAATATTTTTTATATTATATAGTATTTATGAGTATTTCGAATCATACATTAAATATTATTTAAAGCGACATCTGCGACATATATTTACTGTACCGTATAATCGAAAGCTATTAAAGTTGCGATTTGTCAGTGATCAGAATGTTTTAATAACAAACACGTGCAACGTTGCATGTCGTGACTTAATGTCTGCTTTCTACGGTTCTTTTCTTACGTATTCACTTTTTTGTCCCTAATAAAATCGGTTTTGGGGTTACGTGATCCACAAACGAAACGAAATCTGGCCACGTAAATATTTCTCCAAGAAGGAATTAGGCAATAGGTACCTAATTCCTCAACACACTCGTGCTGCCCTTGTCCCCTTTTTAGAACAACGCTTGCGCCATGAGAGATGAGCGTATGATTCGCATAATTGAATAGATACGGATTAAGAATCGACACTTTGATGTAATATTCACTATGTATAATAGGTTTGACTGAAAATGGTCCGCTCTTATGTGACATTTATGTTTATCATACATCTATGTTTAAATGCAAGCTTTGTGATCACATTTTCTGTATTCGAAATGATTGCTCAAAACCTTGTTGAGAATTCCTCTTGGTGATGAACTGTTTCGAATTCAACTGTTTCAATGTTATAGATTTTTCGTGACGTGTTTAACAAACATGTTTGTATTTATGAGAGAAAATAAGAGATATATTAAAAGATATAGTGTATAGTGTAGACGGTAGGGTGCCTGTATTATAAAATAAAGATAGAAATTTTCGTTTAAGAAAAATATCGATCGAAATTGAATAAATTTCGATATATTCATCGATAAATCTATTTTATTATTCTTAAATCAAAGTGAAAATCAAAATATGTTTTTTTCATATTTTTAATTTGTAATCAATTTGTAATGAAAATTATTTATTTTGCAATAGGATGTGCGTGGATCAAACCGCGGATGCGAATCGGCAATTAAGGTCGATACAACTGGAGATGGAAAATCTTCAACGACAATTGCAAACTGTTTCGTACGACCGAGACAATGCTATCCAGGAAAATCGACGAACTCAGGACGATTTAGCTGCGGCTACTAGTGAAGTAAGAAATCTGCAGCGCGAATTAGAAACATCTCGTGGCGAGTCGTTTGATCTGAAGAGGCAGCTTCAGACTTACGTTAGCGAGGTTCGCAGAGCTGAAGAACTTCTTAATAGAAAGGTGATTTTATTGAAATTATAAAAATATATATATTATTGTAATATCTTTAAAATTTCATTTTTTTTTTTTTTTTTTTTTTTTTACTTCACAGGAAAATGAAAGATCAGAAATGTTGAATCACTTTAGAAGTTTAAGTTTAGAGGCGACTGTTTTGGAAAATAATAATCATAGTTTAGAATCTGAAGCAGCTGAGGCGAGAGGAGCGCTTAAATCCGCCAGGGATAGATTATTGGATTTAGAACGACAATTGGCGGATAAGGATAGCTTGATAAGAGGCTATGAAACTCAGGTTAATGATTTTTTAATAATTTTTTCATAATAATGATATTTTTCTAATATATAACGGAGAAAACATAAAAGTTTTGATATAAAAGAAAGTAATATGAACATTTTTAGATTAGTGAATTAACTCAAAATGTGGCAAGTTTAGAAACACAGTTACGTCAGCAGGGAGAACAAAAGCATAGAGCAGAAGCTGACTTAACTGCTGTTAGAGATCTATGCATGAAATTGGATGAACAAAAAGACACACTTATGGCACAGTTAGACGATAAAGATTCGCTTAAAACACAAGTAAAAAACATTTATATTATTTTTTTAATTAGAATAAAATTTAAAGAAAAAAAAATTCTGTTTTAAGATGAATAAATAATTATACATTATTTACGCGTGATTTGATAAAATATAAAGAATAGAATTTTTTATTTTGTATTTGATTTTTAGTATGATATGCAAATTGCTAAATTAAAAGCGGAACAAGCTGTCATTCAAGATCAGATGACTAAAGATCGTGCGACAGTAGAACGCCTTGAGATGTTATTGGATCAAGCAAGACAGGAATCTATAACTGCGCAAGCTACTAATCAGGAGCTTCAAAATGAAATGTCTAGATTAAGACAAAAAATGTCTGAACTTCAAACTAAATTGTAAGAAATTTAATTATTAACTGTTTGTTAATTAAATATATTTAATTAAAAATAATACTAATGATAAATTTGATCATAACTTTTTTCTATTTAATTATAATAAGATAATAAGATATTTTTTCTATTTAAAATTATAATAAGAAACATCCTATTTATTTATTTATATATTTATTTCTCTAAAATATTTTAATAAATATTTTTTTAATTTTAATAAATATTTAAAATATTACAAACTATTGATAATTCACATAATAATATCAATAATTAACTAAAATTTTTTTTTTAATATTGTAGATCTTCAGAATCAACAAAACTTCGACAATATCAAACTCAAGCTGCAGAGTATTCTAAACAAATTAGTGAACTTCGTAGACAAGTTACGAATGAAAGATTTGATCGCGCGAGAAAAGAAGAAGAAAATCGTAGGTATGTATGCACATTATTTACGATTCAGATAAGTAAAATCTTAATTAATAGAAGCTGGAAATAGCAATATTGTTTTCGATTATATTTTTTTTAGACCTTGTGAAGAAACTCCTGATCCACCTGTCCAAGTTCCATGTCCAAAATCTTACTTTCCTATTGAAACAAATGAAACAAAACACAGGTAGAAAAATATTTAATTAAATAATAGCAGTTTCAACTGTAGAGGTGGATAATGAATAAAATTTTTTTATTTATATTTTTTAATATAAATGAATGTTTTGATAGCTTGATAATTTTATAGTTAATAAAAAATATTTATTATCTATATTAAAAAAATCATAATATAATTTTTGTAAATTTGCTAAATATATTTTTTATAATTTATATACTTTAAATATTTTATTAACTTCTATTATTTATTATTTCTAGTTTTTTTTCTAAATATATAATTAAAATATTAAAATTTTAATATCAAATAAATTGTTTTCCACCTCTGCATTAGTTTTTGAAATTCAAGTGATAAAAATAAAAAATTAAACTGCCAGGCAAGTAGACTGGCTGAAGAAACCTTACACCGCGATTCCCAAACAACCTCAAACAAATAGTGGTGCGCGATCGATAATTGAGCGATATTCCTTTCCCTTGGATTGCAAGTGTTTGAAAAATGCCTTGCACGATCTATCGCCGAAAAAATCAGCATTTACATCTTATGTTTCAAATAATGAAGCAGACGTCTCAAAGCAGAATAATCCTAAGAACTTTAATAAACCTTTGTGATCGTATAACTATTTGCATATGTTCTATATTAGACTTATCATCTATTTTAATAGCATATTTCTTTGCATAGAAATAAATGAATTTTAATTCAATGCTTTTGAGCTATTTAAAATATTTAATATCCATGTTAATACTTATAATATTTTTATTCCTTAGGAATATTTAACTCATTGAAATTTTAATGGAATTTGAAAATATATTATAATTTTAAAGAATATAATAATATAATTAATAATAAATAAATATAAACTATTATTAAATATATAACCATTAAATTTGTTCTTGCAAATTTCATTAAAATTATCAATATTATGATTAAATTATGTTCATAAAATCTTTGCATCCAATTAAATTTTTTTTTTTTATTTGCAGGTCTTTAAATTCGACACCAGACAGTTTTAACGTAGATTTAAATGTGGTTATATAAAATCATTTAACCTATCCTAATCAATAGATATTTGCAGAATGAAACAAGCAAAGAATACGATGGACTGGCTGAAAGAAGCAGAATGAAAATAATAAATCCCGTCACTATATCACACTCGGGATATTTAAATTTGCAAAACTACAGATGCAGTGATCATACAAAACATATTCACTGTGATGTTCCTTGCATAAATATAATTTTACGTTCAGATTGTAAAATGCATTCCAGTCTGTATAATTATCTACAAAAGGAAAATGCGCAACAAGAGATACAAAACGAGAATGCACCATTTTTTCAAATCAACGAAAATTCAATGAAAGTTGATTTTAAACCATTAAATACATCTCAGTTTAATTCGTTTAATGAAAAATATAATCATACTGCTTTTAATACAGAAAATTGTTTTAATGTGTCGCAATTAGTAGGAATGCAATATGAAAAAAAATATAATCAAGGTAACTTTTAATAATATTTCATAAATTTGATAATAATAGTCCACCGTTTCATATGATATCAAATAGTAATAAGCTTTGATCAAATTCAAAATAAATTTGTTTTCCAAAAATGAAACAATTTTAGGACAACCAGAAATATTGAATAAGGATAAAATAAAAACTTTAAATGCAGATAATGATATTGAAGCTAGATTAAAAGTAAATGAATTTGTTAAATATCATGCAGAATTTTGTAAGGAATTGTCCACAAAAAGTTTTCCTATTATAAAATTGGAAACTACAAAACAAATAAATGAAAATATTGAAGTTCCTAAAAAAAAAGATTCGTCATTGAATTTCGAGAAAACGACTACGAAAAATGAATCTGTAAAGTTCCTAAATGATTTAAAATTAACTACGGAAAATATAGAATCAAAACCTACAAATAAGTTATCTAATTTCCAATTTACAAGATTGGAAAATCTATTAAAACCTGTAACTTATACATCGTCTAAAAAACTTTTATATACGAATTATTTTAGAGACCCTTATGTTACTAGAAATTTACAAGAAAATAATCAAATTCAAAATACTATTTGTGCTGATAAAGAAGAAAATATTTACAAAACAAACTGTAACAAATACGAAACAGCCATAAATTATAAAAAGGATAAATTTTATGAAAGTACATTAGAAAATAAAAAATTTACAAATTTTCCATTTCAAAAAGAAAAGACCTATACTAATGTAAATTGTAACAAAATCAATTATTCTACGTTAAATATAAAACAAAATGAAATTGATAACAAAACTTTGAATACAAAATTTATGAGTCATACATTTTTGAAATCTACAAAAGATTTTGATCATAGTATATGTGAAAATAAATGTGTAAATACAATTGATAATACTTTAGATGTATTACAAAATATGCTAAAAGATGTTAAAAAATTCAAAAATAAAAGTATGACAAAATTTAATGATCAAAGTTATCAATTTAAAGAAATACAATCTAAAAAAAAGGATAATTATTGGAATGAAAATTTAACTTTTAATTCGTCAGAAATGAGATTGGAATTTATGCAAATGTTACAAGATATTAAGAAACATACGGAAACGTTAGAAGAACAATTAATTAATATGAACAAATGTAGAAGAGAAAAAAAAAAAATAAATGAAAAATTAATTTATACTTCAAAAAATTATAATCTTCAAGAAAAGAAAAATATAATTACACAATATCCTGAAAAAAAAAATATTTGTATACAAGATTCATATTCATATTGTGATTTGAAATGTCAATGTTCATTATTGAAACCGACAAATAGTTTTTATTCACAATATGAAAAACAAAATATAATTCTATTACATGGAAAAAAAATTGCAATAGATAAAAATGATAAAAAAAAAAACATTAATTTACTAGAATGTCGTGATGATTGCATAAAAAAAGTAAAGGACATCCAAATTCAATGTGTAAAATCACTATCTTTTCATATTCTTGATTCGAAGTTTAAACTCGCAACTACACTTATATCTAAAAAAGATTATACATCAAAAAACAAGAAAAGTCTTAATTATGTATCCAGTTATATCCAAACAGATAATTCACAAGCAATGCAAGTTGAAAAAATTCCATTATCCAATAAATTAAAAAATTATTCAACAAAACAAAAAAATAAAACAATTGATCCAATAAAAATAAATAAGAAATCAATATCTTTATGTTGTAATAAAAATGCTATTATATTATTAATTTTAAAAAAGATAAATAATAAATGTTTAAAGTGCAAATATAAAAAATCGAAGTTCTTGCATTTTAAACCGAAATATAATATTAATTCGCATATTATGTACGATCAGAAAATGATTAAATATAGATTATCCAGAGTACAGATACCTATTGTGTTCAAATCAACATACATAAAATGTAAAAGTGAGGAAGATTTTCATCTTAATAAAAATAATTACGAACTCTGTACAAAATATTCAACAAACAATTGTAAAATATCTGATTTAGTAACTGTATGCACGCAATCATCTAATTTATGGATCACTACTGCCACTTCAATTTCTTCTACTTTAATTAACAATAATAATACTATTAACAATTTTAATAAAGAAAAAATTGAAAAAAAAGAAGGCTGCACAATAAGTTAATAATTGATGCAAAACAAAATCAATAATATTTGTAATTATTTTTTTAAATAAAAATATATAGAGGTGGCATTGTAATATTTTAATTAATGTAATTTGACAAAAAAATGTGAATAACGAAGCAAGCAATAAAATATAATTATTTCCAGATATAATTTACGTTGTAATTTTATATGTATTTCTCTTATTTTTTTGTATTTTTTAAAATTACTGTAAAATTGATAACATTTATAAACTATGATTTTACGACAGATTTTTCAGAATTATAAATTTTAAGAGATAAAAGATATTAATATGATATAATAATTATTAAGTAAATTTATCGAAAATTATTCTTTTTTTTTAATGAATTTTTTTCGTAAGCTAAAATTTATTTAATTATTTGTTGAATTAATGTTTTTTTTAGTACTTTGTTACATTCGAAAATGTTATATTTTGTGAAGTAGAAAATATTATTATATTTTATAAAGTTCTTTATATTTGTTATACCGAATTTAATCATATAGATAAAAACATGTAAATAAATTTTTACACAGTTTTATAAACAAGTAAATAAATATCAAATTTTAAAGAGACGCAAACTTTTGGATCGCAAAATGTCAGAATAAAGTATAAAAATAACATACAAAGTAATTATTGTATTTAACTTATTCTTCAGAATATATGTATACGTGTAGATGATAATGTGGCAAAGCGATAGCAAAATTTTTCGAAAATTTAACCAAGAATATTGTTACTAAATTTTTTAATCAGGTACGCTGAGACTTGCTTGCTTCTATAAAAAGTATAGTGCAATCTGAGAATAAACATTCAAATAATTCTTATATTTAATTTTAATAATTCTCTTTTAGTATTTAGTAATTTATTATATCATTCTTTACACATATTGTTATGATCTCGATGATCGTACGAAACGGTGAACATGTAAACTAGATAATTACAAATAATAAAAATAAAAAGCCTCTCATAAGATTTCTTTTCTAAACGTTTAGTTATTCAATTTGATTTATGTATATATTTATATATATATATATATAGTTATATGTATTTTATATATATATATATAATATGTATAATCTATATATAAAATACATAACAGAGGCTCGCACAATGTTTTACAATTCGCGATGTTTAAATTATTAGTTTTTTCCATCGTTACACAATCGGTGCCAGCCAGTTTTCTTCTCAGCGTTTGCTGTATGTCGATTCGATAATTACAAAAATTTTTATGTATCTTATACTCCTACGTCCTGTCATAACCCTATTATAATACAAGAATTCTTTTTCTCACTTCGCTTCGCCAGACATTTAATCTTACACTTTTAAGAAAAATTTACATAGAGCGAGTAACATTATGAATGAAATACAGGTATTATGTACAAATATTTATAATTATACATATATACTTTATTCCTTCGATTTTATTCGAATATGATCGTCTGAATTTTTAAATTCGCGATCCCACCTAATAATTAGATAAATCGACGAATGACGTGTAAATGTAAATCTACTTTTTTCAATTTTCATTGTCACGTTTAACATAACATAAAAAATATATATATATATATATATATATTTATGTATGTTACGTTCATTTTCTTTTTAACGTTTGGAAAACAAAATAAAGAGATCTTTTTTCTTCTTATTTAAATTACAACATATTTCAACAAAAAATGAAATTTAGAAAATTTTATTCACTTTTTTTCGTTCAATCTTAAAACAACTGAAATTACCATTTCATGGTATATTTTCTTACCTTTTTTTATACAGCCTATATTACAAAAAAGTCAATATTATTTCGTCATGATATAAGATAAGGGGAAAAAAAAGGCTTTTCATTACGCGCCGCGAGAATCACTTATTTTTAAATTACTTATTCAAAAATTTATAGAAGCATCATATTAGAATTTCAAATAAAACAGTCATATTACTGAAATTTTTATATATTTCATGTCCTAACTAATGAATTTTTATAAAAAAAAATAAATATATAAAATAACGTTTGTTCTGCTATGCCCAATCTAATGCACTCAAAATTAACATAAAATTGCTACATAAACTGTTCTATTATCACTCTTTCCATTAATCCTTATTATAAATTATTTAAAAAAGTTTTTAAATATTGGCAAAGAATTGCCTCAGAAAATGTTTTTTTTTAATTTCTTCTTATCCATCCATTTTTTAATGCTGAAAATTTAAGAAACACTGGCTTTAAGAACATTTAGGCCTTTCTAAGTTTCAAGTATAAATATACTTACACCTGTATCTATAATATATGGACAACTCGGAAGCAATAATTGATTTGTGACTCGATCGGAGCGAAGTATGTGTAGCATTTTATAGATGCTTCTCGTTATCGATGCTTTCTCAAAGTTATACAATTCACACAAACCAGATTAATACATGTTAATATAATAAGATAATAATAAGATTGAGGAGATGATTCAACACGACACGCTTAGTTTGCCCGAAGAAATAAAATTGCTTACTAATATTTCTTGATTTAAAGTTAGGTTAGAATTTGAACGAACTGTTAGAAATTCCCGAGCTAAAACCGATTTAAAGCAGAAGAAATTCTTAAATTTTTTTTACATGATAGATTTGGGCCGGAATATGCTATTATCATCACATTATGTGTGATACCTTACCATTATCTTGACAAAATAAGATTACTCGATAATAAAACAAAAGAGAGACGATAATATAGCCATGTAATTGCAATATGCAATTATATAAGCAAAATCATAAATTCCTAACAAATACATTTCATAAAAAGATTTTTTTTACATTCTAGGTTTTCTTGTGGTTGACTTATGAAAAACATACAATAATAATATTAATAATAATAATTAATAATATAATATAATATAATAATAATATAATATTGATTGTAATTAACTATAACGTCCATAAAGTATTTTTTCGCCCTTCATTTTTTGTACACGATTACTAAAAACATTTCTTCCGCTTCTTGTTGAGAAAATAAATATTAATATTAAATTTGAAATATTATCTTGTTTTACTTTTTTTTTTATCACTGATCTGTAATCACTTCAACTACTGTCTTTCGTTCGTGTTAACTAGTTACAGTACATTATTATAGTCTAAATCGGCAAATCGACTTGCCTCGTAAGTGTATAGGCCTCTTTAATAATTATGGAACATTGCCGTATCTTCTTTTCTTGTAGTACATCTTCTTTACTGTTCATATCCTTCTTTTTTTTCTTATAATGCACAAGCACATTTTTTTTGCAATTAATTGCAAATTTTTTGCCAACTTTTCTATCATTCTTTTGTTTTTTCACTTTACACTAAAATTCAAAATAAACGAATTGATCGCTGTTCGCAGGATGAAAAAGGTTTCTTTTAGAGGCCTGGTTCAAGAGGTCACCTATGGTTACTGCTACTTTGATCATTCATATCATACAGAACTTGTGCGATTGTTCTTGATGATTCGACATTACTTAATGCGACTCCTGCCAAATGTGGTTCGTACGCTCTAAGATGTCTGAAAATCAAAACATAAATAATATTATTAAATATAATAACGATTGGTTATAATTAAACTATACAGAAAAAAAAATATAATTTTGGATTCTTACATAATCTAAAAATCATTTTCCATTTGAAAATAGAATTTATTCTAAGAAATAATAGAAAAAATTATGTACATTTAATTATATCTTATTAATAATTTTTTTTTTACTAAAATTAATAAAATTAATTAAAAACAAACCTTCTGCCATGCGTTGAATATATGACTAGGTTTCTAAGAATAAGAGCTGCTGTCAAGCGAATACTTTTGGTCACAGGACCTTCGTTGTCATCCTGTTAAAAAATTACAGTATAATTAAAAATTTATAATTTCGTTCAAATTATTTATAAAATATAAAAAAAATCTAGTCACACTCTTAAATAACACTAAAACAAATACAATATATCAAGGATATAACAATTATTTAATGATGTTTCAATTAATTAGTTGCAATAGCTTTGAACATTAGTAAAATACAATCGTGAAAACAAAATGGAAACATTGATTTAGGAAATGATGTCGCGTGAATAAATTATATAATATCATAGAAAATTTCAGAGAAAGCATTGATATTTCATTTTTATACTATAAATTTACATCAAATATCATATTATTTTTTTATATAAATATAAAATATATTAAATTAGAATGCAATAATAAATAATTTGGCACAGAAAAAAAAGAAAAAATTAATTAAGTAAATGTTCTTTAAGAATTTTAAAAATTGATTAACCTATTTATCAGAAGCTATTACATTATTATAATAATATAATATAATAAAAACAAATTTTTACAAATTGCTAAATTAGAATTATAAATAAATATGTTATACAATCAAAACTTAGCACCAAAAAAATATTAAAATTTTACAATGTTTTAAAATTGATTTGCGAGATACATTTTTGTAATTAAAATTATTAATTGATAATTCAATCATCCTTAAAAATATCCTTTCTTATTGAAGATTTAAATTAAATACCTGTTTATAATACAAAAAATGATTTTTTATTTTGATAAAAAACGCGACAAATATTCTACATTATGTTGCTTAAAATATTATACCCCAGCACCCTTCATCATCATGAATATACTTCAAATGCGTGAACACATAAATTATACAGGGACGCTAACTACGAAATGAAACTAAAATGGAATACATGCTAATAAAAAATACATATGTATACACCGTAAAACTTGAAACTAAAAATTAAGAAACCACAACGTATGTTACGAAAACAAAAGAAAATTAAGCGCAAAAAAAAAAGAGGCGGCAGGAACAACGCACAAGAGCTGTGGTTGTAAATCGTGAATCGTGAATCCTTTTTTTTTTCAATTTCTGAACACGTTTTTACCTGTTCTGGTGGAGGATTTTGCCCAGGTCTGGGAGAAGAAGAGCTTGAAGTGGCTGCAGCGGGCTTGGTCGGCCTTTGCTGCTTTGCCAAGAGAATAAGAAATTTCATTACATTAACAATACTTAACAGACTCTATGAACCGTGAAACTATAAAGGATTCTCCGAAATATTGACACAAATTATATCATTAAACGCGGTATTTTTGATATCAGTATATATGTGCTATCTCGCGTAGTAATTTTAGTGCATTTGTTATCCCTATGATGTGTCTTGTGTTTTTTTTTTTTATTGAAATTACCATTAACTTATGTCTACATATATTATTATAATTCATTTGATTTATAAGATTATTTATGTGATTTTACTAACCATTAATTCCTTTGGATTTACAAACTCCAAAGCGTGCCGTTTAATAGCATGGAATGCTGCATTCGGTGCATATCCAGGATGATGAGGAGTTGGCGGTGTCGATGTAGAAACTTCGGTTTTGCCTGTTACCGTTAATTGTTTCCTTCTTATCGACATTGTCTGTAAAATTATTAAATTATTTAATGTTTAGTAAAGTTCTTTTCTATAACTATAAAATTATAATTGAAAAAAATATAAATTCTTATAAAAATATATAATATTATACTTACTTCCGCATTACAATGCCTATCATACAAATGTGTCATCAATGAAAATCTTCGTCTTTTCAAGGCATCACAGCTTGCCCAAAGACATAATATTTCCTCCCCACCAGATGGACAATGTGTTTCGCATACATGAAGATAAACTTCATGTGGTGTTTTAAATTGCCTTTACGAATATAAAAATAAAAATATATAAAGATAAAATAATTAAGAATCATAAAATAGTTTCACAAATTAAAATTATTATTATTATATTTTGTAATATTAAAAACTAATCAATTACCTTAAACAACCTCGCCATTCACATAAATATGCATTGGGATCAATTTTTATTGTAATAGTTTTTTCTGATTGATTCTGGCTCGTAGATGGTTTAGATTCTGGTTCAGTAGAGGTTGAAGAACTGACAGTCTTTATTACTTTAGCAGGTTGCTTTGTCGGTAATCCATGTGTTGCTGCTGCCTGATGAGGTGTAGTGGGTCTTGTAGGCGGTGGAGTAGAAGCTGGTGTTGGTGTTACCACTCTTGATGGCACACTCGTTGACACTGGTGTTTGTTGAGCCATTGCGGGAATTGTAACGGTCACTGTATTTGGATTTGTTTGTGCTACAGAACTGTTCACTATTATCGAAGTTTGTGGAATTGTGCCAGACGTTGGAACCAAAGGAGGAGGTATATTGCCGAGTGCTGGACTCTGCAAGATAGGACGTGAAACTTGTGTAACGACAACCTGCTGTCCCTGAGGAGTGACGGCCACCATTTTTTGCTGAGTTGGTTGGGCAGCTGCTTGAGATTGCAAAATAATTATCGTTTTTGCACCTGTTCCCTGCTGTTGTGTTGTTTGAGCTACTAACACAGTCTGCGCTTGACCTTGAACCAATGTTGTTTGTGGTTGAGCTAAAACGTAATTTTGACCAGGGACGCCACCAGAAACAACATACTGTAATTGACCTCCTGCTCCTTGTTGCAATAAAACCTGTGGTTGAGGTTGCGCTTGCCTTCCTTTCACTGCACTAGTTGGAATAAGAACTTGATTATTCGATTGTATTGTTTGTTGTACTACTATTTGCCTAGGTGCTGCGACAATAAGTTGTTGTTGAGGTTGTTGTTGAGGATGAGGTTGTGGTTGTTGTTGCATTTGAGGTTGCGGTTGTTGCGGTTGCGGCGGCGGTTGCTGTGGCTGTTGCTGTGGTGTCAGTTGTGATTGTTGTTGTTGTTGAGATAATTGTTGTTGATTAATTTGATTGACAAATATATGAGGTTCTTCTTTTATCGTAGTAGTAGTTTCTTCTTGGACATTTACAGTAACATTTTCATCAAGGTCAATTTCGTCTTCTATACAATCTGCAGCCAGAGCAGCGTAAAGATTTGCGGCTGTAGAAGATACGGTTGCTTTCTCACTATCCTTATCATCATCCTGTTCTTCAGATTTTATACTCGAGACAGTGGATTCAGCAGTGGTCGAATCAACAGCAGGATCAGGTGACATAGTACCATTAGAATATTTTACTTTTTTTACATCTACTTCATCCGACTCACTAGCAGCTCGTTTTATTCCTCTAGGTGCTTCAATTAAAGTATCTTCAGAAACTTCTGTCTGTATAACATTACCTTCTTCTACTTCGGTTTTTATTTTAATGTCTGTAGGAGATTCTTTTAATACTTTCTTAATGTGATTTTCCACTAAGTCCATTCCTTTTTCATTAATCGAATTTTTTCCTAAAACACCATTCAAAATAGGCTCTTTGTCAACTTTCCGTTCTAATAAATCTGCAAGCATCATACTTTGCAGAGGTTTCTCTTTAGACGTTATACTAGATGAATCTTTTGATGAATCTTCTTGGGCATCGATATCCATATTACTTGGTGCACCATTTAATAGAATTCCTTCAAAACTTGTCAAAGAATTATCTTCTTCTATACCGACACCAGAACAGTCCCTACTACCACCAATACCACTACTGGATGCCAAAGAATTATTAGTCGAATCTGAATCCTCAGCTATTGATGTACAAGTTGAACGTTGAATAGCTTTATTTGCTGTAGTTATAGTTGTTGCTGGAGGCCGACATACTTTAATGTTTGACGATATGTGGTTTTCGGTTGAATTTAAAACCATTGTGGAAGAAGTTGTTGATGTTGGTATTTGGTTGACATTTTCATTATCATTTACTTCAGTCTATAAAATTAAAAAATCAGTAACTCAGTAAAATTTGAAAATTATATTTCTCATAATTTCTCATAAAGTTCATATTGTACCTTGTCACAATTATTAGTCATAATAAATTTAGCTCCATTGAGCCTTTGTATTTTTTTGGCAGGAATGGGTGTGATAGTTGGCTTTTGCTTTGAGTTGACAGGTGTCTTTGGGAGTATTGCAGTTAAAGTTGTAGTTGCAGTTGGTTGCGATATATTAGTTAATTGCTGTTGTAGTAGTCTTTGTTGTTGTTGGCGTTGTGCAACCTATAAAAATTGTACAATTTAGATTTATTTAAAAGAAAGAATTTAATTTTTTTTTTTTTTGAAAATTACTTTATATTTTCTTAATTATTATAGAAAATAAAATATATTTCAATTTCGAAAACCATGCTTTTGTTAGTAGAATACAAAACACTGATTGTCACTCTAAACTCAAAAAATAACCACATTATTAAATATTACTTAAGAATTTTAACCAATGTAAAATATAAATCTTATCTTTTAAAGTAAAAGAAAATAGCATAACCAAAGTATAATACTTATATCTACTTCAGAACACAAACATTAAAAAACTTTTTGAAATTAAATTTGTTAAAACATACATTCACTAAATATAATTTTAAGTGCAATCTTATCTTGTAAAATGGTTTTTTTTACAAATACAAATTATTTTAAATTCAAATTTAATTATTTTATATTTGATATTGAATTTTAATTAATATAATATTTAATATAATATTTCAATATCATATAAATATGTTTTGTTTTGTATAAAATTTTTAAATTTTCTATTTTAAATAAAAAATAATTATTTAACCATCCTACAATTTATGGTTGCACAATATTTTGAAATTTATTTTCTGAAATTCAAATTCAAAATGCTTAAAATCGTATAAAAATCATGATTATCATCAGATTCGCATGAAATGATCTTAAAAAAAAGTGATTTTCTTAATAGAAGTATCAAAAAACATGAAATAAAATAAATATATCTTATTAATATATCTCAAATCTTTTTTAATAGAATATTAAACATTTCTATAATAAATTATATCAATCATTTTTATTTTATTTTTTTTTATTTTTATAATAACTTAAAATTTATACAAATATAAATGTAAAATTTATTAAAAATTTTTTTTTATTAGATTTTTTTTTTTAGTTTTAGTTTTCTTTATTTAATTAGAAATACTATGTGTTTTTAAATAAATTTATCAATTTATTTTACTTTCTCTTTTTATTTCTCTATTATTCCATTTAAGAAAATCATCTTCGCCGAAGAAAATCAGAAACGCCGTCTTATATGTCCTTAATACATTTTCAACATCTTATCTATATAAAAAAGTACTACTGTTTTCATTGTTAATGTACAACAATGATACCTGGTTGCTGGTTATTAGCTGGTTGGCACTGATGCTGGATGCGATGCTAGCAGTAGTGTTTGTTACACAGGCAGTAGGGGTAGACACACAAGTCGCAGCAGTACTGGGCATGCAGTCGCTGCTAACCGTTACCTTAGTAGCCAGAAGGCTTTTTATTATGGAACTGGATGTAGTACCACTTCGATTATCTTCCTTTGCAACTACCTGGACAGTTTGACATTGTTGCTGTACTTGTTGTACTTGTTGTTGTGGTTGTGTTTGGGAGCCACTTGACAGCAATGCTTGACTCAAATGAGGATGTGATACTGACACCTAATTAACAATGATCATAATGTAATTATAACATCAAAATATCATGAATAAACAAAAACATTCTTATAATACAGAAATTACAAAAATCAATTACAAAAAATTATAAAAAAATTAAATATTTAATTAAATAATAATATTGTTGTTTGAATTTGTATATTATAAAATATTATAAAATAGTTTCTATATTAGATATATTATATATATAATACATATTAATGATGCAATAAACATTTCCAGCATTGACAATGAATTATTATTAATTATCATTTTGAATAATTATATGAATGAAACTACAAAAGTAATTTTGCTTTTTATGAAATTCATAAGGCATGATATTCAAACAAATTCTTATTACAGTTTATTATTAAGCATGATACGAATAGAAGTAGAACAAATGAAATTAATCAAAAACAAAATTTATTAACTTGTTATAAGATAATAAAAATATTGTACTATGAAATTATATCTACATGAAAAATATCAAAATATATATACTTAAAAAATAAGAAATCTATGTTGATCATGCAATAGTAAAGTTTTTTATCCAAAATTGCAATTATAGATATTACTGATAAAAATATAAAATATAAAATAAGCTTCGATATATTATAACAATTAAAATATTAATAAAATGATCTGATTTGAATACACACATATATATAAAATATTCATTTTAAATAATACTTATAGTAGTCATTCATATTTAAAATAATATTTATATTTCATATTTATATTTTATCTTTTTTATCATATATCAATTTACAGTTAAATCTTATTTATTTGAAACAAAAAAGAATTTGTATATATTTGTATATATTTCAAATATGTTAAATATGAAAATAAATTCTTTATTAAAAGAAGAAAATCTACAACTTACATAACTTTTTAGAAAATTATGTTTCAATAATCTGGATTTCAAAGTTCACATAATTACTTATTTGCATGCACATGTAATGGAATAGACGGGATTTGAGGCATGCAAAATGTAATATTGTTAAGAAAAGCCCATATTATGACAGCATAGTGAAACCATAACCAAAATAAGAACCAAGGTCATGAGTGGTAGAGAGAATGGTAGAAAGCTTAGGACTTGGACCCACCTGACTTTTAGAATCAACCTTGGTGACTGGATTTTGGGATTGAGTTGCAGTGTTCGAGATACTGGATGGTGGTTTTGGTGGAGCAGACAATTGGGCTTTAAGGATAGGCGATGCTGGGGCAGGGGTTCTTGGAGGCCCAGATGCAGGATTGTCTAGGGCCGTGCTATCAGGAGCAGGACTTATACTCTTGATTGTACGCTGTTGTACGGGAAGCACCTTTACTGGCGTTGCGTTGGCTGCTGGAATTGGAGCTGTGTTAGTCCCAACTGCAGTTTGGCTCGGATAAGTTACTTGGGGAGATGTGGCCCGTACTCGGATTCCTTCGTAATACTGAGTACCACTTGTTTCACCTTTCAATGGATTTGGTCCGACGCTTCCACCAAATACAGATCTATGGAAAAATATTTGTATCATATTGTATTATATATATTGCATTATATATATTGTATTATATATATTGTAGATATTTGTATTATATTGCTTTTTTAATTACAATTGAATATTAATATTTTACAATAAAATCGATCATTTTGTATATATAATATATATAAATGTATATATAATATATATATATTGTATATTGTATATATAATATATATAATATATATAAAATATATAATATATATAAAATATAATATATATAAAACTAAATATTCTTCTGAAAAAAATCTTATTGTCTATTTTGCTGAAAAATCTTAAATAAAAACAAACTAAGTAGAAAATAATTTTATATACAAGGAATCAAATATTTACCTAACGCATCTAGGAAAATGAAGTGGAGCAATAACACCTCTTCTACCAATCTTTGTGCAGCAACCAAGATATTTCTTGTATAATTCTTCTTGTTCTATACGGATTCCCTGTGCTGGTTCGAAAGTAGCTCTTAACCAACTCAAAGCAAATTGCTCGTTTTCTTGAATAATTTGTTGATGTGCATGTTGTTGCTGAAGCGAATTATTTGTCTCAACTGCTTCTAAAGATAGATATAAACAAAATAATATTAATCTATTTAGCCTTTTTTTTCTAAAAATTGTTTTATTATTTTTATATGTACTGTGCGTAGTAGATTTTGTTGTAATTGCAGCTGGAGTCGTTGGTCGTGAAGGTGCTGGGCTAACAGGAGCTGGCGTTGCAGTAACTGTAGCTGGAGTTGTTGGCACAGAGGAGGACACTGTTACTGCTGGCGCAGTAGCTGTGACAGGAGTAGTATTCTGAGTAGCATTCGGTGGTGGTGCTACCGTAGACACTGTTTCGATAACTCTCATCAAAATACAAGCTTTCGGCCCATAACTCTGCGCTTCTACAGTAACAAGAGCAACTAATGTGTCGATAGCTCCGCGTACCCGCGCGACGCTAGTACATGGCCTTTCACCTAACGAAGTCAATGCGTACAAGCATTCCAAGGTATATACTAAAAGAGCTATGTCGTTCAGAGCTAAAAATCTGTAAATAAATATGTATATGAATTTTGATATAAATTGTTACTACTTTACTATTATAATTTCATATAATTTCATTAGAATTATAGAGAATTAAATATTTTTTTTTAGTTAGAAAATATATTTCTCTATTTCACTTTTTTAAAAGTGATATAAAAAGTTATATTTTAGCACTGATAATTCAAGATGCACTATGAAAATTTTTCTTAAATTTTCTATATATGTAAAGATTTTTTTTCAGAATAAAAGTCATAAAAATATGATAAGATATATTTCAAAAACAAAAATTTGTACGTGAAATTTATGAGACAAAATTCACCTGCATATTAGTTCATATACATTGTCTTCTAATCCAAACGTAACGATTTCTTCATTGCTGTCTTGTTGGCTAATTTTATTAAGCACCTCCAAGCAGGAAATAACAATAAACCTGTCTTGGGATTCAATTCCCTTTGCCACACATGACAATACAACATCTGTTATCCTCTCACCAGCTTCTTTTAAGACTATTTCATTTGCTATGTTTCCTAATATATCAAAACCAAGCTGATGCAGATTACTCCACCTCGCTCTTACACAGAGTAATACGAATCTCAAGAAACATCGATTCCTTCCTAATACAGCAGCGTTTTCTGGTGTAAAACTTAAATTCCGTAAAATAGATGCTATTTGGAGCACACGTTGCCCATAAGGATCCTGCGTTCCCAATGTTCGTCCAACACAAAACAAATCTTTATCTTCTTCCTCAAATTTTATGGAGTTTTGATTTTGATCTCTTAAAGTTTCATCTTGGTGAGATCCAATCGGATCTAATCTCGAACAGTCTGGCATCGCCTGCATACATATACATACACACACATTTTATTTTATGAAATGCAAAATCTCTACAATAAATTAATGAAAAGTATATTCTAAGATTCCACATATTTAATTGAAAATTTATTATAAAACTAACAGAATAAGAAAGAAATCCATTATTTTATATGATTCAAAACTTGTAAATTTTTTTAAAAATGGATAATTGGAAAACGATCTTGAAAAAAGAAGGGAATTATTATTTTGAATTAATATTTAAAAATTTGTAAAATTTGTATCTAATGATAAAAGCTTTTTGTTGAGACCAAAAATAATGGATTTATTTCCAATCTCTCTTTCTCTTTCTCTCTCTCTCTCTCTCTCTAATATACTACAATTTTAATTTTAAAAATTAAATAATTTAATTCAAAAAAGATTTGATCATTCTTTATAAATTACAGAAACTAATTTACTACATACCACTATTATTCTTAATCATGTGTCTTGTTCAAATTCAAATAAAATAAACTCTTTGAATTTGAAAATAAAAATAAAATGGAAAAACGGAAATCGAACAATCACTTAGAAGATTTCTTAGAAGGCAAAAATCAACCAATAATCAAGACACGCGGTATCCTATTTCATCGTACCCCGTCGACTTCCATCGACGTTGACGCCTCATCTCCGTTCTCCGTGGACGCGGCGCTTTTGTTCTGTTTCTCCCTCTCCAATATTTTCCGCCTGGAGAAGGTCTGGGGGCTGGCGGTGGTCGGTTTCTTCATGAACGTTCTTTCATTCGTAAGATCTATCACATCCTGCGAGTCGAGGACGTCCGACCAGAAAGAGTTGATGGAATAATTCCTCACACGGGAATAAACCTCGATGAAGAGCTGCCGCGTTCCAGGTGAATCGAAGACACCGGCGTGCGCCAAAAGTATGTTCACGAGACGAGGATATTTGTCGAGGCGTAAGATATGCTTGCCCTCGTTCGATAGCAACGTGCAGACATTGATGGCGAAGTCTTGCTCGTTGGGAAGTGGCGAGAGAAGAGATAGCGCGAGTTTATCGTAGTTGGATGGCTTATAAAGATCGGACGAAAGGCCATTGTATTCACGAAGAGATTCTGAAAATTGAAAAAAAAAAAAATTGTTATTGTTATTAATCTATATGAAAAATTTATTTTCTAAAAAAAATTAAAATTATACGATTGTTAGTTCGTATATTCTTAGAGAATTGAAAGAGGAAGACGAGGATCATTGAAGGAATGTAAGTAAAAGAAAAATAAAAAAAATTAAATTTGCACAGTGTAGATAATAACCATCGCACTAAGAATAAAATTTGTTTTATTACAAGAGATTAAGATAACGATCACGAAAGAAGCGAATTTAGTTCACGAGAATCTAATCATCTCGTGTAAACAAGATCTCTTCTTATCATATAATTAACATTTGGATATTTTTTAGAATGCAATAATGTTTTAATATGCAAAGAGTTTTAATTATATTAATTTTTATAATGTAATTTTGATTTTTTAAGTAATGGAACATTTATGGAATATTACATTTTATCAATCGTTTAATTAATTATAAGTTTATATAATAATTATATATCGCAAACAATTCCTTAATAAATATAGGAGAATAAAGGAAGGTTATAATCATACGTATATCTGATACTGGTTAACAGGCGTCGCCTCATGCAACTGGTGTGTGATCGACAAATCACGAGTATAATAGCTTGTACATGATCAGATCAGATCTTTACAAAACAATAAAATTAATCGATGGAGTGGAAATATATAATATATATATGATAACAATATATAATAACAAATGATAGAATTTAATTTCAAACGAATTATAATATAATTAATTTTGTTACGATAAATTGGATTACATCAACTCGAAAACGATGCTTTATAACAAAATATAATTTGACTAAATATTCCTTCACTCTTAATTATTTGCAACGTTACCTACTACGGAATACAATACAACAACTAAAATTAACTTTATTTTTATTAACTTGATAATGTGAGCATTTTCTGGTAATCTATAAAAAAAAAAGCTTTGATTTAATATTAATTGTATTGTACATTTCTATAATATAATATAATGAAAAATATTATAATTCATTTTCTTTTTATAAATAGATGGAAATAAATCGCATGCGCAATTTTCAATAGCGCGAAAGATAATTCATATCGATTACAATTGCACGCGTTTCACACACAACAATCTTTGATCTGGCAGCAAATTGTTTCTTTCTAACAATTTAGCATACGAGACTCGTGCAAAGTCTACGAAGTAACTGGAATATGCATTATCGCAAAATCGCGGTAATATCTTTTTCAACCGCAAAACCGCGATCAATATCGCGCGTCCCAGGAGAAATGCTACTTTTTGCCGGAAACTACGGAATCTACTGACGGAAGGTAAGAAAGGAGAGACGGAAGATAAGGCAAAACGAAAAATGCGCGCGCGAAAAAAGGCGAGAAAAAGAGCCTCTAATAAGATTGTACTTCGTCGAGATTCTTTCTACTCTCTGATTGATGTGATAAAAGGTGATGATCGTCAAATCTAGCGAGTCTAATGTAATATGTGATATATTACATTATATATATTTTAAATACATTTCAATTTTTTTTCACTATTTATTTTTAATTATCTTTTCTTTGTTCAAACAATTATCTGTATTATACAATTAATATCACAAAATGAGAAATATGTTATCTACTTATTATATGATTATTATATTTTTAAACTATAGCAATAATAATGTTTTAATATTGATTTTTTTTCTTTTTTTTCAGTTAAAAAAAAAAAGATCAGGTAATAGATCGTTGGTCACTTTGAGAAAATGAGTAAAGCCGTGGTGAGATAATAATTCTTGGCAATAATTGAGGACACTTTCGAGAACGACACGAAAAGGCCATTCTTGGCAGGAGTAATGAGTTGATTTCGATTAGCCAAGTAAAGATTCGCTTCCAGGCCTATGAGTTACCGCAGAACTTTCCTTGCACTACATCTTGACCTAATTTTATCATTCTATCGTTCGAGATATTCAAAATATTTGTTTTATTGATAATTACAATTTCGAATTATATATATTCTATGTTTTTTTATTTCTATTTTCTATCTTTTTTTTTAATTTTATCATTCATTCAAATATAATAAAAATGTAATAAAACTAAGCAACGATTATCATCGTGATCATCATAATCAAGAATACAGATTTATTGCGAAATAAAATGGAAATGACATTTAATTTAATACGTTTACTCATCTGCGGAATCATATTTATTAATAAAAATACTATTATTATATAAAGTATTTATTTCGTTATTTTTTATTGAAATAAAAAAAAAAAAAAAAGATTAAATTATAATTCTATGATATATAAATTCAATGTTTAAAAAATATTTTCTTTCATTGAATTTTATCGATTTTTCATTCCGCCAAATTTAATTTTAAAAATTAATGCATATTGAAGATAATTGATTATAGATTTTTTTTACTTTTATTTTTTATTCATTAATTTATTTCAATAATATTCAATAATATTCATCCTCTTTTTAAAATTTTCATATCATTTAACTTATCATCTTAGGAATATATATGTATAAAGTTTGTTTCTTAATAATCTACACAAAATATTTGACACATTGCCAAATGTCGACGGAAATTCTAAAAGGAGGCGCTCATAAACTGTTTTAACGCAACTCTCCACATTGATCAAAATAGCATTGGCGTAGAAAGTTAATTTTCTTTTTACATCTTTTATCAATTTAAAACGATTATTGAATGCAAATAGTCTTTGTCATTATTGTGTTAATGAATATGATCAATATCAAATGTTGCAATACATAAGTAATAATATGCATTCCCAATAGGATTGAAGTTCTAGTTCTTCGTCAGCGATAATAATGACAAGAGAATAGTGTAATACTCGTTATCTTTTCTCATGTCATGTCAATGCACTTACATATAAATGAATGATCTTATATGAGAACAATTAAAAGTGATAGATAAATAATTTAAGCTTTATTGCACTCCTCTTGTTTAAATACTGAAAAAATTTACAAATTGAAATATGATTATATGACAAAATAAATATATATCTAATAAAATATTTTTTAAACAATGAAATCTTAAATCATGTCCTTTAATTATTTTTTTATAGACATATTTCTTTTTTAAATTATATATAATTACATATTAAATTACATATATTTAATATATTCGACAAATATTGAATTTTAAATCTACAATTTATTAAATTCTTAATATTATTAAGAAGTAATACTATAATGATCAATAAAGTTACTAAAACGATAACCTTTCATTTAATTTAAAAATATATATCTAACCATATCAATTCATTCCCACAAAATAGTATTCCATTCTCTCTCTCGGTCACTGTAACAAACTAATTAATCGATAATTTGATCGACGGAGAGAGTTTCGATCGATTCAACAGCCAGCGGTTGGTAACACATATTAAAAGCAGAGGGAGAATTCGATGAGGTTAAGGGCATTTCAACACCGAGTGATGCGCAAGGTGCACAGGAGGCGCTGCGCACGCGACGTCAATAATTGGCCTTAAATGATGACAAATGCCGTAACAAGTTACGCTATGGCATATGCAGTGGAACAAAGCATTTGATATATCGATGGCACGCGGTTTAAACGTCACCAATCGCGAAAGTAGCCAGTTCACCTGGATGACGCTAGAATTCAGGCAACGTAGCAACCGAGAACGAGTCGAAGCAGAACAGAGAAAGATAGAGAAGAAGTGGGGATAAACGTATAGAATTGAAAAGTTGGTGGGGGCTGAAATCGGGAGCTACAGAACATCGCGCAAGCGTGGTGAACGTTGTGTTACGCTGGCGCTGGGAGGATCGAGGTCTCACGGAACTCCTATCCCCGCAAACGTTTATTGATTGTGACTCTCGCATCGTGTCTCCTTTTCTGTCTTTATCACACTCTCGTTTCTCACTCCCACTATTCCTCTCCTTTGTTTTTATATCTTCTTCGATCAAATGTTTGTTTTACTTTTTCTTAAATTTTCGCTATTTTGTAAATATATTACACTTATTTAAGTGTAAATATATTGAAATAATCGAACAAATTAAATGTGTACATATTTTTAAATTTGATTACAATAAGCTGTGAATTACGAATTTTGCAGGAATTAAAGTTAAACGTAGATTTTAAAGAAAAATTAAATAATACAATAAATTGTAATGCAAGATATAATTTAATTGTAAATATAAAATTTGTATTTCACTTTGTTCTTTATAATTCCTTATAGTTTTGTGATTTAAATTTTGCTAACATTTCTAAATTACGTTTATTCTTTTTCATATATATAATATACATATTATACATGTTTTTATACATGTTCAATGAATCAATAAAATGTTATCGTGGAAAATCATTTATAAATGATTTAAAGAAAAATTTCATTCCCACAATCTATTTATTTTTCATATGTATTATACATGTAAAAGAATAATGTAAATTTATTTTTTATCTGCAAACGTGCGCGAATCGGAAATGATGGTGAACTTAAGCAAAGTCGAAGTTCAATTCAATGATTACGCGTTATGAATACTTAACGGAACAATTTAGCGCGCGCGCCACGCAACTTCGACGTCTCGATATAATGTTACGCATGAACGCGCGCATCCAATGCGCGCGAACAAGATAGGACTTCGCACAGATATACACGTTCCTTAAACACGCGGCATCGATTTTGTGGGTGCACGCCCATTATTTCATCGTGAAATCACACCATGTTGCGTAGTTGATTTTAAAAAATGATAAGAGATGTTATATAAAGTCATCCCTTTTAAAGATAAACATATAATATAAAAATTTAAAATAAAATTTTTTTTAATTTTTAAATCAATTTTTTTAATTCAATTTAAGTTTTTAATTAAGATATTTATATTTTACATAAATTTTTAGAAATTAAAAATTTGAATTTTTTGTATTTGCAATTTAGATATATAACTAATTAATTATGTGTTATTATGTAATGTATTGATGAAGTGAATGCGACATTCATTTTTCTTGTAATACTAATCTTCAGATGCCTACGCAACCAATAAATATTTTTAAAATAGATTTTTAAATTTTGTATAAATTATTTTTAAAAAAATAATAGGTTTAAAAATTTCCAAATTAAAAAATACTAATTAGACCTATAAGAAAAGTTAACATCTTGCCATCGACTGATATCAAAAGAATTAACATGTGAGTAAACATCATATATATGTTTATTTAGCGATCGGGTCAATTTTGAATTTCAGTAAATTTAGTCGATATCGTTGAAGTGACCGAAAGTGTTAAGTTACCGAACATTTCAGTACCCAAGCGTTTCCAGTTTGCCGTGTCGAAAAGTAGTAAGAAGAGAACGAAAGAAAATGAAAGAGTAACGAAGATGCGAGAAAATGGCAAAGTGGGGTGAGTAAGCACAGTACGGAGCTGATAGTTGATCGTACGCATGCGCAGAAAATATAGACCCGCGTTCCGACAGTCAGAGCGCGGTCACGGAGGTGTATGCGCGATTCTATGTGTGTCATGATTATTGCCCATTAAATTATCTTGCACACGTTGTGCGCGTTCTACTCTCACTCCCTGACACGAAGCTGCATCAATGCACATATATCGTATTATTGTGTACAAATATACGTAGTGCACGTATATGTATGTATCATGTACACGTACGCATTTGTTCCCAGCCAGACTGGCTCTCTATCTCTATATCCCTCTCTTGCCCGACACAGCTTCGAAGCACGTCAATAACCCGTTGCCGCCTCGCATGCTGCATACGTTGCAGTGCGTTTATAGCGCGAGCGCACATATGTTCGCAACACACTTAACCGACGCTTTTTTACGAAACGAGTTTCGGAGCTTTCACCTGTTTCTATAGCTCGGTTCGATTCTCGAGTCCTTTGTGCGTATGTAGACGCACTTGAACCGGCTCAAAATTCTAGCCTTCGACACTGTTACTCATTTTTTATCATTTATCATTATGTTATCATTTTTTTATCTATATTTTACGCAATTTTTTCTCAATTTCACTTCCTCCTTCCACGGAACAACGTATTATTTTGACCGAGATTAATGGCGAAATGTAAATCATCGTTAACGAATTGCCAGGAAACCTGAAACGATGATAATGCGCGCGCTTGGAACTAATTGTAGGATGCAATTACACATAAAAGCATTTTTCATACGAAGGGAAATTTATAATTAAGTAATCGAATATTTTCTGAAGATTAGAAAGTATTTTTTAAATTTTTATGTAATAAAATCAGATTATAAATAGTTCAATGATTAATAAAAAAAAAAAAATTAAATCGAAAATAGATATAAGTAAAATGGAAAAGACATATGTCACTTTCAATTCTTACTAGCTTGATAATTTTTTATTATTTTAATATATTCTAATAATATTTCATTGTAAATATAAAAATAAATATTTTAATAATATTTCATTATAAATATAGAATAAAAATGTATTTAAACAAATATATTTAATTTTATTCCTTTCTAGAATGTAACTAATATATCTTAAATATAACGAATGAACATAGAACACCGTTAACGTATTATTACCCGATATGGTGGTCGTTTTTGTAAATCTGAATAGACCAGAACGTCAGACGAAAAAAATTCTGACAAACGGAAATTGCTAACGCAGCGAATTATTGAACCATGACACTCGACACGTACGTACACCTGCGTACAATGTATGTACGTTTGATATGTTACTGTGAATACGAGTACGTGTTGGTGGTAGCGGGAAAGAGCGAGAAAAATACAGGAACAATGCATAGTGGAAAACGCATTTGAAAGTCGTTCGAGCGTGTGGACGTGCATGTGAAATGCACGGCGCGACGAGTACAGTGGCATAAGTTCGTAAAAACGGTTTATCGAGAACCATCGTAAATTCAGCGGTCGGTTCGGCAAACGCTGCGGGCTTCGCGTGACAAAAATATGATTGGAAAGCACGGTGACGATTCAAAAATTCGATACATTGTGGATAAGAATGGTGGATAAATGAAGTTGAATGTTATATAAGTTAAACAGCACAATATTTTGATGTCTTTCAATGAAGCATCAATCAGTATAGATACTATTTACTATATTTAATATAAACAAGTAACTAATACCGTATAGGTTATGTTTTCTAATTTCTCGCCATGTTTCCGTTTCTTCATATTCTTTAAAGTAAATATTTAAAAAATAGATTTAAGCAATTTTTTTTATATAAATGTATCTTTTTATAGTTCGAATAAATTTATTATTAGCATAATTTTTTTTTATTAGTTTACGGAATTATTTTCAGAAAAATAAAATTCGATAATTACCTGCGACATTGTGTTGATGATGATTATAAGTAAGAGGAACAGAGTGTAATGCCCTAGCAGACCATTTTCTGTGTCTGGAATCCTCGTCATCGTCGTCAGCTTGTTGGCCATCTTCTCCCAGGAAATGTACTTTTTCGTATCTGTCCAAATACCTAGAAAAATATATGATTACGTTGTGTTAAATCTCAGAACTATTATAATTAAAATATTTAGAGCAAAGTATCTATAAATATCCAATATATAAAATTCATGTTCTCTCTTTTTTTTTTTTTTTTTTTTTTTTTTTAGAATTAAAAGAAACGCTCTTTCTTTGTAAAAATTATAAGGAATAAAGAGCAGAACCATTGGTTGGAAGGGAAATTATCAGTATATTTGAAGACAATTGGTGTGTGTATTAACTTAACTTTAAAGATAATGAGAGAGAGGATTGAACTTAACGGAATTCAAATGTACATATAATACTTTTGTATTTTTTTCTTTTAACGAATGTTAATGGCCCAAGAAAATACGATTTGAACATGTTGCCTTTGACAACATCCCTTTTATTCTCTCTCGTTTTCTTCGCACATTTCTTTGTCCAATCTCGAAGCTTAAGAAGAATCCAATGCTCAAAATCCATCTACAAGAGAGTTAAATACTTTTTTTTATAAATATTACAATATTAACAATTATTATATACATTAAATTATTTTATTTTGTTCACTTAGAAACTAGAGAAAATTTTCTACTATTTATTATTGAATAATCAACTTTCTACTCAGAAGTTCAATTTAAAAAATTCAAATAATTCCTCGTATTTAAACTTTAGCAGTGACATCTATAATTCTGATAATTACGCAACTTCGATACTTAGTGTAAAACATAAAACTGCGAAATGCATTGGGATAAAATGAATAATATCGAAGAGTTTAATAAATTTTTTTTTTTTTTTTTTTTTTACGTTCTTGATTTCATTTCTTCATAGAACAAACGCACAATATAGACAATTCAAGCTCCACCTCGAAAGAGAAACCAATGCAAGCGATGTCGACCCGTCGACGACCGTACGCGACTAAATGGCGCTCAATTCCAAGCACCGACCGAGACACAAGATACGTTGAACCGACTCTTGTATCGACGCACGAGTTTCGAATGTGATTAAGCTACGCGGGATCAAGCTTACTGACCGCGATCGAGACTGAAGAGAAGAACGAAAACAATCCTGAACAAACCTGTGAAGTTCGAAGCACGTTCGAGAATATGATGATAATAATAATAATAACAATAATAATAATAATAACGATAAGAGGGACAGAGAGGGGGGAGGATAGGGGAGGGGGGAGGGGTAGACGAGACGAGACACAGTCGTGGGTGGGCGAAAGAAAGTGGTGGGGGTAGGTGTAGTGGATTCATTCATGCACCAACGTAGAGTACAGAAGGTGCAGGCGTGAAGCACCCGGCCAGAGCCTGATTGGCCGTTGCACGGTGCAGACTGAGCACAGACACTTTGACTACTGGCTCTGCCTCTGGCCGTGCAACACAACTCTGTGCGCCGTATATAGATAGAGGCCAACAGTAGGAAACATCTACCATAGCGTGCCGCTACTTGGTTGGTGGCACTGATGTACAACACTGTAGGGTCCGGCAGAAGTCACGTGTCCCTCCCAGAGGCTCTGTAACGTCGATCGAGTATGAATGGAAACCGCGTTGAGGACACGTGTTATCGGTGCCTCAAATTTCGAGAATCTTTCGGATCGATGTATAGATTTTACTTCAAAGAAGGAAAAATGTATATCAAGGTATAAGAAAGCAACGATCTTTAAAGAAAAATTAGAAAATTTAAACATTTATGATTATTTTTAATTCTAATTACGGAGAATCGAAGTTTAGAATTTTCTTCGTATTTTAACGCAAGAAAAGGGTAATGAGTGAATGAGTGAGTGAATGAGTGAGTGAGAGAGAGAGAGAGAGAGAGAGAGAGAGAGATTCTCGTTATCCGAAATATAAATTATCTTATGCAATTATTTTTATATATCCAATATCTACGTATCTTGAAAAATAAAAACGAAGTTATGTAGGATATTTTAATTACGAAGGACAGTATAGTAAATGAAGACTGAAAATAAATTTTATTTAACGAGTAGAAATAATTGTGGAAATCAGTTAATTAACATTGACAGGCGGAAAGAATGGAAGTGTAACCTTGTCTCTATGATTACGGTAATTAAATTCAATCGAAGGTATAATATAAAGGAATTTCTTAATCGGAACTTCAAGTGACTTTAAATAATTTAATATAAACAAAGTTAATAAAATTATGCACATTATAATATGTACTCTTATTTTAATTTTGTAATCAAAATTGTTCGTGATAATAAATCGTGATAAATAATTAATTGTAATAATATCTTATTTTTAATAATATTTATAATAAGCAATAATTATTTGTTGATAGAATATTCTTTGTCTCTTTTTACAAAACTCTTTTTTATTCAAAAACAGCATGTACAATAATTCATGGAATTCAGTTTATATAGTAAGAACTATTATAATGAAATAAAAATATCCATAATCGAATGAGAGATAAATAATTTTACTTTTGCACGTTTTATTCATCCTTGAAAGTATATATACGTATTATAAATTATTCTGTATAAACAGAATATGTATGAACTATGTTCGTCTGACAATTCTGACTTTAAATCAACTTTGACGTATATGTTCATAGTTCACGTGACAGCTAACGTGTTATCAAACTTGTCAAAATGACAGGTCAAATTTTCTTTTGCTCTTGGAAAAATGAATATTTGATCGAAAATACGATTCACTAAAATAAAACTTTTTTTTTAATGAAACAATTATACATATTTATTTTTCATTATATTTTTCATCATATTATAAAATGATTTATTATGAAATGTTCGAAGTCATTTTATGATAAGAATCACACAGAAACTGTGATATATCGATATATCTTTATATTTCATTTTTTTCGCAACTTGCTTCAACATAGAAACGAATATATATTGCTTGGTACCAGTGTATTTTATCACTTAGGAACAACTAATCTGATTATACGATATTTTGAAAAGAATGTCACGTAATTTGTGATAATGAAAAGATACACTGCTTACGTTAAACATGTACAGTTTATAGATTTAGATATTTAGATATTATACACATCTCTTCAAATTTCTTATAACTAATTTCAATTGATTCTTGATTTTTATACTCTAAATATTTAAATTACAAATTATATTACTACAATATGTAATACATTATGTTATATTAGATATACTTAAAGGAAAATTTCAAGAGTTCTTCTGATGAGAATCTTACCAATGAGTCGTCATAGTACTGTTATAATACACGTATATATTAAAATGAGTATTCGAATAGCAGAATGGTACACCATATTTACCGTTACACTTTGTAATAGAATTCCATTTATGTAAGAATCATTATGACTGGTGGCGGCATCACACGGGGAAAAAGATATACGAATAATGAAAACGAACGAAGCGAAGTAGCGAAATAATCGAGAGAAAAATCAACAACGTGAATCAATTTTCTTTCTTTCAATTATTATTTATATCATTTTCTTCTTTTTTTATAATCTCACTTTATTGCTCGAGAAATCGTAACTAATTAGAAGATTTTATGAAATCTTCGATTCAAATAAATGAAATTCTATCTGTGTTATATTTGATTTTTTAATCGTATGGGTTAAGTTAGGTTAGATTATTACGAATAAAAATATAAAATTAAAATAAAATTATGAAAATTCTAATGCTATTAGCGAATTGCTAATAGTTACGTAATTTAAATCATATTGAAAGATTATATCTCGCTCTTTATTTCCTTTAATAGAACGATTTAAATATTAATATGTATAATACGATTTGAATACGTATTACTCGTATTTAGATGATTTATATGAATCAATTCATTTCAAATTTAAAGATTTATATTTTATAAAGAAGTTGAATAAAAATGTTACTTTTAACATTATTAAATTGTGAAAATAACAAATAAATTTCGAATAATATCGTAACAATTCGAGTGATTGTACAATGATTGTTCACTCTAAATATTCACTAGAGAAAAATATTCTCGAGAGCAACTCTTGAGAGTTTTTCTTTTAATTCTGTTCGCACCCTTTCGTTTAAGAATAAGTTCTCGCTAATAGACGTTGAAGTTAGAATGAAAGTTGGACAGTCAACGAAAGGACGCGAATAGTATATTCTATTTTCGTGATTTGCTAAAAATACTCTTGAGAACAATTCTCGAATGTATTCATTCTGAAATGATGATATATCTATCCAAAGGATCGACGAAAGTGTTGGTTTCGAAGAAACGATGGAATCGACCGGCGTCCTTGTTTGCAACCGGCGCACGGTAACAAGGTTGCACAGAGAGAGCTTTACCAGAGAGAGAGGGAGAGAGGACAGCGACTCAGGAACCACGTGGTTCTCTCGTCAGCGAGGCCACAGTATGAATGAACGAACGAACGAACGTACGTACTATACGATACGGAAAATGTTGGCGGTGGTGGGGCGTAGGTAGCAGAGAGTGCCGATACGCGGCCGTGTCGTGAAACGTCGCTGACTCTTCTACTCTTGCAGACGCTCGTGGACTGCCAGACATAATGGACATCGTGTGTATGTATGAGTAACGTGTGACTATGATAACCAAGTCATGGTTGCTTGACCGAGCCATATTGTCAACAAAAATGTTTTCGTTCAAGTTTTGTTTAATTTGTTTTCAAATTTTAACTCGTCATTTAGAAATTTTCAATTCGAATCGTAATCTTTTTTTTATATTAGATTTAATTAGACAAGTAGTCGAAAATCTTAAAACAAGTTTAATATATTATAAGTTTCATAATATTATAAGTAGATGTAATTCATGCGGTAAAATCTATACAGATAAAAATGAATGTTGTTGTAATTCTCATACATCTAGATACATGAATTAAGGTCATACTCATTTACTTACAACCATACAGAGAGGTTATATTTATTTACAAATATTCACGCTTGTCACGGTCTCGTTTATTTACTTATTGAATCGGGGATTTGTATGAAAATGTGAATTTTTGATTCTATACGTATAGTACGATTTATCAATAAAGATATCCTTGACTGTTTCTATCTTTCTGCAATTGATTTGATATCGATGAAAAAAAAAATAATAGTAGTAATAATGATGAAGAAAATATTCTTCGTCGAAAGTCGAAATTAAAAAAGAAAATTGTAAAAATTAATAAATAAGTAAATTAAACTGCATAAATTATTAATAAATTAAAGGAATAGCTAAATAATTAAATATTCTAATGTTTAAATTATACATATATATATATATTGAAAAAAGGGTTAAGAAAATATACCTTAATTAATGAACAATTTTCCAAAAATTTACTCAAAAAAAAAAAAATATTCCAATTTGATGTTATTTCAAAGATCTAAAACTTCATTTAAAAACATATTCTTCAATTTAGTTTTGAACAGATCAACGCTCAGATCCAAGACATATATACAGTTAAAGGCATATCTCCCAATTCACTATTCAGATGATGTACGAGCTTGGAAAGCTTCTAAAATAAGGTGATCGATGATGGCAACGCATCTCAGCCACTTACCTAAGGTAAATTTGTTTAAGGCCAACCCCGCTGTTCACGCAGCCATTGGGTAGATGGAATTGTTCGCATAACGATGCCCACTCGTTTCTAGTATTCACCTGAAACAAAATAAAAACATTTTAATATTTCTTCTGTCATCTGTATGTAAGAGAGAACAGAAAGAAAATGATGGATATTTTTCGTTTTTTATTTATGAATGATATGAACAAGATTTTTCACAAAAATTATAAGTATATTTACTTTATGTATAATTTCAAATATGAATTAAATTCTTTTAGTTTTTTTTTAGTTATTTAGTTATTTGTATTACTTAGAGTTTATGTCAGAATATAATTATTTAAAATTCAACTATATACTGAATTTTGAATTAACCTATAAAAACAATTCTGTATAACTAAACCTTCATAAATCTATATAACTTCAATTTTAATCTATTATAATCTTTTATTATATATTTATTCTTATAATTAATGTAATTTCATAAGAAATTTTAATCTTATAACATTCATTTTTATAAAGAATCATGCCATATCAAACTCGTATCATTTTACTTCACATAGTGGAACAATATAACGCAATACGCTTATACACAGAATCGATGAAGAAAAGTATTGGTCGACTAGTTTACGACGCCCGACTAATGAATTTTACGGTTCTGTTCGCGAAACTCGACGTAAGTTCTTTCCCGCAGTGTGCGTGAGTGTGTTATACTGAATATACATAGAAGTGAAGGATGAAGCACGATTTACCAGTTCCACAAGATAAATACACAAGGACGAAGGGATAGGTAGGGTAAGGAAAGATGAACTGAAAGTGGGAGGTGGATAGTCTGCGCGCGATTCTAAGGGAATTCCTGGTAGCGGGTCGCAAGATAAAATGCACCCGAGCGGTACATAAATTTCTTAGTGTGTGTCGAAAAAATAACCGTTGAGACTCGTGTTACGCGACACTAGCTCGACTTGGTGTGTGTCACAGGAATGGTAAAATAGTAAAAAGAATGAGTGATATGGAAAAAGAAAAAGAAAATGAAATGAAAAAAACTGTAAGAGAATTAGAAAGACAAGAAGGGAAAAAAGTTTGCAGAAATAATGATAATGAATATCGCCCAAAGAAAAATTAAGACAGCAAAATAAATGAAAAATATAGTATAAAAAAAAGAATATCTAAAAATAAACAAAAAAAATATCAAAAATATTTCATTATATATACATAAATACTTCAATTTTGAGGTTAAATTGCAAGCATTATGACGTCACATATGCTTAACCAATATCAAGCACTGTGACAATAGTTATGTCACTTCGAACACATCGCTTCATATTAATTTCTAGAAAAATGAAAATAAAATTCAATTAACAAATAGGTAGGAGAGTTATCACGTATGAATTGATAAACACAGAATTATAAAGAAATATTTATCAGGATACTTTTTCGTTGATGTATACCACGTTTAATACGAACGGAACGAACACAGCGGGAGAACAGAGTCGTGAAATCGACGTACATACTGGGTCAGTGCTCTCTGGATCCGCGCCCGTTTCTTCGCTATTCTCGTCGTCGCGACGTTCAACCTTATGAATCGAGAATGTGGCGCCTCACTGTGGACGACCTCGCGACATCATCAGCCTCTCATCAAAACCGTTCAGACGCAGCACGCATCTCGTAATAAATATCCAATCAATCAATGACACAACTTTCAAATATTTTTTTATCGAAAAGATAGTTTGGAAAGAATTAATTTGAAAAACATTTAACATTGTTCACGGCTGACAGGTAATTTTCATATTGACATAAATTTCACAAACTTTAATAGACAAATCTTCTGAACAAAAATTTTTTGTTATAGAGATGAATAAAATTATTATTTCCGTGATGAGAATTCTAATATATTAATTTAGTTATACGATTAAAATTATATGATATGTAGTTAATGAGTTTCGAACTTGAAATTTATCGCATATGAGAGGTTGAGTTTCCATTGATCGATTCAGTATATGTGTGTTATAAGTCATCTATTATTTTAGATATTAAAGAGATTCGTATAATATTATTTACGAGATAGAATACAAAAAAATGTAAAAAAAATATTTGAAATTTCAATTCAATTATTTTTAAAAAATATATGTATAATTCTTAATACATAAAATATAAATTATAAATGATAAATATAAATATATAAAAATATAAATTTTAAGGTTATATACATATGTAATTGAAAACCATGTATTTCAACAGACTAATTTAACCTCTAACCAAATTAAAGTATCAAGATTAACTTAGATCCGGAGCTTCGAAATCTGGACCACGATTGTGAAAATTGGCGCGACATTTAACATATGAAAAGTCGAAATTAATAGTATGGCATTATATAAGCGGACTTTAAATTATTAGTAACTGTGATGCGAAACAACTCGACATTTCCGTGGATTCTACACGAAAATGTATAAACTCACAATTGATTTATATAACTTAGTAACAATTGCAATTTGTTAACATTAAAAACATATATTCGATTACAACGTTCAAACAATCATTTTTTTAACTGAAAAATAACAATATTGCGGTTTTATAAAAATTTAATGTATATTTTAATTAATGTATACGCATAATGGCGATATGTTAAATTCTGATTTCAATGCTTCAATAATTATAAATAAGAATATAAATATACCAAAAGAAAATATATATAAATATATATAATATATAAATATATATAAATATATATAAATTATCTGTTCATATTTTCTAACATTAAATGGCAGTGTGACAGGAATAGAACCATTTCATTTCATCTAAAAAAAAATTTTAATTGCCAATTATATGAAGTTATACCAAGTTAAGTATACCAAGTTTTATGTTTTGACTTTTAGAATAGACTCTTCCAAGAAAATAAATATATTAAGATTCTTTATATTTTATTTTCTATATTATATGTATACTTCATTCTTATTATTCTTATAATTGAACTAATAAAAATCATATTCAACTAAATTACGCATTTCAAGTTTATAATAACTTGTAACTATGAAGTGTTATAATAGAGATAAAGCAATAAAATTGTTGGGGATTATACAGAGCGTGCGAGCTGATTACGGATTTTACTTGGAAAATTATAATGGATCAGTTATAGCTTCCTTAAATCTTTCACAATCTACAATTTGTAACCAACAAAACAAATTTTTCCAATATGTATAACTATATGTATAACAATATGTACAAATAGAATTCATTTTTTTCAAATTTAATTTTTGCAAATATATTGTATTTCTATTTAATACTTATTTTTTTTTTTTGCAAAAATTTCTTTTTCTTTTAAGTGTAAAATTCTACTTAACATCAGTATATTAATTGTTTCAGAATAGTGAGAAATTTTTCTTGTAAAGAAGTACAGACTGAAAAAAAAAAAAAAGAAAGTTAGAAAGGTAATATAAATAATTGCAGACGTTTTTAATTTACCTGATCTTATCGGGCATTCTACCGCGTAGTTAGATCGCGCAAAGTTTATCTGTCGTAAACACTTGGATTTATCAGGATACGTTACGACTCTGTTTTCTCTGATAAGGAACTACCTCAACTCGATAACCCTTTATTAGTAGTGAATGCGCGTTATCTATCGTGTAATTCACATGTATGTCTAGAATGCATCTCGTTCAAAAAAAGATATATTAGAAAAATTTAAAACACAAACTATTACTAATTACGTAATTATATAATTAAATTTACGTTTGAAATATAATGGCTACATTTTCTTTATTCATGAAAGAAAACCGTCGAACAATTGGACAAAGATGGCCAACGGAAATTCGCTTGAACTTAAAGCCAGCGTTCCATTTGATCAAAGGGGAAGCAGGTAAAAAAGAGAAGTCGTTGTGAAGAACCTAGTAACCAGTCGCAACAAAAAGAACAAAAAGAATTTACTTCAACCTGCGGCAATTTTTTGTTTGATCAAGAGAAACCATATAGAAAAAGGAAGGGAATAGATGACAAATCTTAGCTTTGGCAAAAGAACTTATAAGAACTTTCTCGACACTATGTTTAATTAATAAGAATTAAAAAAAGAAAAAGAAAAAAGAAAAGAAACGAAGAAGTATTTAAGAATAAAATAAAATAATTAAGAATATCGTATTTTATGAAATATGTTTAAAAAATAAAAAATTACCAAAATAAAAGTTACATTTTTAATTTGATTAAATAAAATTAAATTAAATTTTATTTTATTAAAAAAAATAAATATTGAAAATATTGATATGAAAAATATTTGATTCAAAAATATGCGATAAATAACGATAATGTTCGTGATATATCAACAAATTATTTCGCATGATTTCTTAATAATTCCTTGTCGTCTGAAAGTTATCTAAATATAGAATAATGAAGAGTTTGGTCAAATGAGATATCAAAAGCTTAATAAGATTCCTGTTTTATACTTCAGTGATATTTTATGACCTTGAAGTAAAAAAAAAATATTGGTTTCATGAAAATCATAAAATGTCAAATGTCGCTGTTCCTTGTATTTACGCTATGTAAATAATAATAGAATAAATACATCGAACATGTCATTTGGAACTTTGTCATCTTAATCATATTTTTACATCTATTAAAAAACAATAATCCTATCTAGAAATTAATATTCAATGTTTGCCAATTATATTCCTACTGTTCGTCAAATGGTCAGTCAAATAAAATCAATACATAAAATGGGAACAACTCATCAATATCATTCACGCTCAATACACTATTATCCTCTTCCACCAGAAACAATGCACCCATAAGCACCATCGTTGTCAAACGTCTAATGAAACGATTAACACAAAACATCTCGTTCGGCGTGAATGACGGCATCGACAGAAGCGCGATCATCGATGACCATGTCTTAAACAATTGTGATAAACTTCTCGTCATCTAACTTCACATCGACTTATCTTACAATTGATATAGACACGGACCACCGACGATGGGACGAGGAAGAAGCAATCAGACTGAGAATGTATGAGGAGAATGCGAGCCTGCCTATTATTACGTACCAGTTCACGTATATACACGCGATTTACTGGCGCCGATTAGGTAGCATAGCAGCACCGGCACACGCGGACGCCCC